AGGAAAAAAAGTACTAGGAGTACTGTGGTATGTCACGTAGAGATCCAATGGGTTGTGGCAGCGCTGACCGAGCTTTGGCAGAGAGCCATTTCAGCTTGCATAGTTGACTTCTAAAGCTGTTCCATAGTGTGAAGGCTAGATTTAGGGAGAAGACTGTATTATCTGAATGGGAAATGAGATTTGGATGACCTATGGGGCAAAGGAAAAAAAGTACTAGGAGTACTGTGGTATGTCACGTAGAGATCCAATGGGTTGTGGCAGCGCTGACCGAGCTTTGGCAGAGAGCCATTTCAGCTTGCATAGTTGACTTCTAAAGCTGTTCCATAGTGGGACAGAAGAGCAAATCATTGCTGTGTTTCTGTGACGCTCCCTGTAGTTCTCTAGAAGTATATTTTTATATAGTCACTGGACTTAATTTCACTATAAATATACTTTACTGCATGTTTCTTTTCCGGGTGAGAAGTGACTGCATTTTGGAGGAGCTGTTATAGGTCTGCTCTGAATGTTTCTTGCTTTTAACTTCAGTCATGCTTCCTTTTATTCAAATCAAAATGATGTGTGGTTTTTTTTTTTTTGGTCCTCATTAATGTTGTAAGCTCAACATGGACAAAACAGCCTAGGAATACTTCTTCCTATCACGTGAGATGCACTATATTCTCTGTATTTTGATTCAGTACCTGCGTATTGTCTTGGTCTGCTTTCCACATCTCCAAATTGAGACAGCGTCTCAATAACTGAGTTCTGGACTTCTCTCTGCTCTTCCATCTTCTGTCCATTTTCATCTCACATGTCAACTACTGCCTGCCTTCCTCTTTGATCTTGCAAGTCTCACTTTCCCCTTGAATTCATTTTTGTGGCTGGCTTGAATCCATCTCTGATCTTTTTCCGTGCGTTCTGTTAGTGGCTCCCCCTTTACCATTCCACTGTTTGTCTTTGCCTTCAAGGTCTGGTGTGACTTACCGTTCTTCAGTTATCCTCTCTTAAACAGTTACAAGATGTCAGGCCGTTCTTTGCTCCACAAAGATTTCCAGTTTTCCTTATGAAGCTTTCCAACAGGAATCTTTATATTCTACTATTAAAATTTTATTTGGCTGAAGTATGTACAATATTGATAAATGTTATATAAAACTGTTGTGGAACTCAACTTGAGCAGAAGCAAGTGACAGTAAGATGATGTGGGAGGAAGGACAAACAGATGGTGACAGAAACCACTCTTTCTGAGTTTGTGGTTGCTACTGAGTCCAGAATGAAGTAGTATTTTTCATTAGGTTTCTTGTAGGACATGTAGCATGGTGAAAACTATTTGTTATAATTTGCACTTTCTTACTAAAACTGTAACCAGCAGAATACACAAAATAGTATGTTTGGTCTTTTCTTCCACTTGTACCCTGTGCCCTTCATCTGCCTGTGTGTGATTTGTCGTCTTATAATTAGTGAAGTAATACTTACAGTAATTATTATATTCTCTCTCTATATTCTTTCCTGTGGAAACATATTTTTGAGATGCTGTTGAAATATTGCCTAAAAAAAAACGGAATTAAAAACTACTGCTTTCATTAATGTTTAAGCTGCACTTAGTCAAAGAAATGTCAGAAAGATCCGCCACAGATAAACTATGAATGTAAAGCCTAGATTTGAAGTTAGATGACTTTCTTTACATGTGTTAAGTCTGTGGTCCAAATTACACTGCCTCGATCTAGGCTATGCCTAAGCAAGAAACAGTACATCTGTACTGCTACTGCTGTAGGTAACCCTTGCAGCAAACCTTGAGCACTGTCATATGTTGTTCTGTGCAATGGACGTGTAATGGTGACTTACGGGAGCGTAAGCAACGCTAGGTACCAGAACGAACTCTCACAGACCATCTTTAAGGGCCAAAAACACTCGGCTATCAATGAGTAAATAACAGTTTCTCTCTCTCTCTCTCTCTCTCTCTCTCTTTCTCTCTCTCTCATCTCTCAGTCCTGATTCTTGCCAGAAATCTACAAAATGCCTTATGAAACCAAGACGAGGTATTAAAGTTCAGAACATTACACGTTACCAAAACAGTGGCTTCAGTGAAGAGATTCGGGAGGGAACGTATGAGCTTCCTGTGTGCTGTAAAACCAGAGTACAATCTACTCGTTATTCTTGATCGGTTAGGTTATATAACACTTATCACCTCCCCACCTTTGTTTATCTCTGCTTTTTAACTGCCTGTTTAACATCCGTCAGTACAACCCACCTTTTCTTTCAAAGATGTTAGATTGAGCCAACTTTTGAACAGCAGGTCTCAGTGGTATTTGGCTTTGTGAGATTCTCCATCTATTTCAGACCTGAAGAAAGATTTCTGCATCTGAAAACCTTTGTAAATGCTGTTAGCAGTAATACCTTTTGTTGGACTAAGCCTCTGTCCTTAAATGATCACAACTATGGCAAATCAGCTAAGCATTTAATGATCAGCCAAAACATCATAATGAAGGCAAGTCACTAAATTGCCACATCACAAAATAAATTCCTGTCAGTGTGAACTGTGAAATTGGTATTAACCTAAACACATATAGATTAAAACGTTGTGTATATTTAGAATATAACATAAGAGTTATAAATATCTGAAGTCAGTGACTGTAAGGGTTTAGGAGTTCAGTTTAAATTGTGTTTCTTAGGTAAACCTTTGCTACTCCCAATGTTAAGGGAAAATGCATATTTTCACAAAATTCCAGATTCGTTTTATTTCTGCCTTGCACTGTTCTATGTTTCTTTCCCTTTCATTC